CATCAGCATCAGAGGCTTTTGTAAAGTGCATCTTGGATACAGAGAGTTTTTGAGTGCTGCTGTGAAGCAGCACGTTTGAAGGATTGCACAAGACCCCGGAGTGACAAAAAGGTGGAATGCCGCGTGGCTTTGAGAATAGCAGGCGGCGGCGAGAGGGCTCAGCCCTTTCGCCGTTCGCATTGGTGAGACGTCCCGTCAAATCTCACCAAGGAGCGGCTCAATGCGAGCGTAAGTCTCTGTGACGGGTTGTAGGAATTTTCAGACAACCTGTGAGGCGCTTGATGCCATATTCTTTGTTTGTAAAACAGGATGCGCGTGGTCTTGTCTGCAAGAAACTCAATATTGTCGCTCCGTTTCATGGAAGACGATCTATCATCGATTCAATTCCTGGGCTCATAAATGTATATTTGATCATGTCTTTCATGATTTAGCTCGTAAACGTCTTGCAGTCCATTCCATTGGCCAAATTTTGGTCACTGACACATCATTTATCAAGAATATTCTCGGCTACCGACGACAGGCCTTGGGACGGAACTGCACCGACAGAGGAAGATTAGCTTCAAAGTTATCAATGTTGTGCGATGCACAAGGTTTGCCATTACACTATGCGCTTCATCCAGCTAACAAGGCAGATTGTACCCTTCTGAGACATCTCCTGTCGGATGCAACTCGATTCTCGAAAGATTTGCATGGCAAAGTAGAAATGGCTGACAAAGGGTATGATTCTCAAACGTGTCGAGATGCATGTAAAGTACAAGGGTTAATAGCGAGTATACCTCGGAAGCGTTCGCCAGATGTTCCATGGTCAGCGGGGAGGTATGTTGTTGAACGCTGCTTTGCATGTCTGGATCAATACAGGCGTATTTTAGTTCGCTACGAAAAGAAAGCATGCAATATGAAAGCATTTCTCTCTTTGGCATGTTCTAATCTCTTAGGTAAGCACGTCTAATGCTCCTATTGACAAATCATAAGGAAACTATGCCTCCAAGATCAGTTTCAAACTCGTCTGAGCAAAAAAGAGAGCCCTGTACTAGCTATCACAATAAAGAAAAGCCATGGTTGCATGGCGCAGACGATCAAATGTGGCCTGGGAAGGCTTCTGCCAGATCCAGCCTTACGACAGTCTCTCGAGAATACTGTGAAAGTGGTGCATGCTCTTGCTGTCCGCGGATCGCTTCTGGCTAATGATGTTGTCATACAGGCCATGCACAATGGAAGTGCTTGCCCCGATATCACTCAAACCTTTTGGAACAGGTGCTTTACCCGCTGAGGTGTGCTTCATGGGCGCCAACTCACCAATAAGGGACCAGAAATTGGTGCAGCGCACGCACGAATTTATGACTGGTGGTGGCATCCCATGAAGGAGGTG